TACCATTTCTATCACCAAGGCCATATTTTCCAACTACTGATCCTTCCTCTTTGTTTCCAACCTTTGCATTCCTATCACCACTAATGATCAATACATCTTGATTGCATATTTGATCAATTTCAGATTGAAGAAGTTGGTAGAATTCTTATATTTTGTCCTCACTGGCTTTAGGGGCTGGTACATAAATTTGAGTAACAGTGGTATTAAGAGGTCTTCCCTTTAGATGCATGGATATTAACCTATCACAGATAGCACTGTACCTCATGACTACTCTGGGTATGTTCTTTTTGACAATGAATGCAACACCATTCCTCTTCAATTTGTCATTCCCAGTATAGTAAATCATGTGGTTGTCAGATTCAAAAGGGCCAATACCAGTCCATTTTAGCTCACTAATGCCTAGTATATTACCACTCCATATACTGGAACTCATAGTGTTTACATCTGAGATGGACATGCACATACGAGGGGACTTGAAAAAGTTTGTGGGAAAGCTCCCTTACCTTTTAATTCCATTTTTTCACAAACTTTTGAAAGTTTTCGTATAAAGTTTAGTGTCTCTATGCAAACTTTTTGTATGGTGCTGTAGGATAAGTACTGGACTGCTAACTGAAAGATCAGTGGTTCTAACTCATCAGCTGCTTCTTGAAAACCTTACATAAGTGTGTTAGAACTGACTCAATGGCACTTAATGACATACGAATTGCTTTAAAAAAATAATAAGTAAATAAATTCAGAAGTGTTATATAAAAACCTTATTTTCTCTATTTGGGCAGTGTCAGTATAAACTCATAATGCATTCCAATCATTAATAACAGAAAACCCAGTTATCAATGAGAAACCACAGTACCCAAATACTGTTTTCTAAGTACTTTCTCCCCCAATAAAAGAAACCAAGGTTTCTCAGACAAGTGCCTGTCATATGAGAAATCAAGGAACTAAAGATTCCTGTTGTTGTTAATTGCCATTGAGTCAGTTCTGACCCATAGCGACCCGGTATAGGGTTTCCGAGGAGCAGCTGGTGAACTTGAACCACCGACCTTGCAATTCAAAAGGCTTTGCAGTCTGGTGCATGAATCTACAGCGCCATATCAGGACTCCTAGGAACTTGTTAAAAGGATAAATGGAATAGGTTCCCACCAGTCAAAGATGAGACATTATTGTGAAGTATAATATATCACCTATGAAGTAGTTTTGAGAGACTGAGAGAAAATAACTTGACTCTGATCAAACCTTTATATCAAGATCTAACTCCAATTTACAGGGCAAACCAGGGAGAAGGATATATTAAACACAACCACATGAAAGTAATTCACAAAATTTAGACAGCAGCAAACTCAATAGAACAAACAACTATGTTTCTGCAATAAAAATATTTCAAGAAAAAGCCAGAGATTGATAGACGGAAGGTAGCCCTTTAGATGAGAAGAAATTCAGAGCATTGGAGATGAGACTCCCAGACTCAACATTCCACAGTTTGGATATCAGAGCTTTCTTTCTATATTTTGCCAAGCATAAGGCAAGGAAAATGAGAGGTGCCTAACATCCTTTTTTCACGAACAAGATGTCCATTTCTCTTTGGGCATCTGTGCGTTACTCACCGCTCCTCCATGAGTTCCCGAATAGAGGCTACAGTGGGGCCAGATCCCAGGTGAGTGTAATATGGACCTTCATCTTTCTCCACTATTTGTTCTGCAGAGACACAAAGTGTAAACATTATTTGGAGCTATCAACTAATCAGCATTAATTTGAAAAGGCAAACCATCAATAGGAAAGTAAATGAACATATTATAAAACAGGAAATCCAAATGGCCTGCAGCATGCAAAAATGTGTTCAACCTCATTAGAAATCAGGAAATACAAATTAAAACTAAAATGAAATACCACTGCACACTAACCTAATTGGCAAAACATATAAAAATCTAATAAAACCAAGTGCTGTCAAGACTGTGGTCTAACCACATTTTAATTCAGTTTATCACTGTCCAGTAAAGCTAAAGATTCATATACTCCATGACCTAGCAACTCCATTTCTAGGAATACCAACAAACTTATTCGGTAGAAGGTAAATATTTTAGGCCATATGATCTGTGCCATTACTACTCAGCTCTACCACTCTAGCATGAGTGCAACCACAGAGAACATATAATCAAATAGGCTGTCTGTGTTCCAAGGCAGCAAGTGTATGCATTCACATATATTCACATAGTTCTGTGGAGTCAGTTCCAACTCAAGAGCAGCCCTGTATAGGGTTTCTGAGGAGTGACTGGTGGGTTTGAACCACCAGCCTTGTGATCAGTAATACAGTGCTTATCCTACATTGCCACACCAGGGCTCTAATAAAGAAAATACTCCTTAGACTTATCTTTCTAAGATACTCCTTAGACAGATACTCCTTAACCAAACACCTCGCTGAATTGACTTATGGAGTCTGAAGGAAGCATACAGAAATAATAAGAAAATTGACATACTAAAAAATGCAACCAATGTCACTGAACAAATTGTGTAGCAACTATTCAATGGAGACCAATTTGCTGTGCAAACTTTTTCACTGAAAGAACAATACCTATTTTAACAACTAAAGCAACTGGCATAATGCAGTATAAGTTAAGTCTCATGTTCTACATTTAGTTTGGGAAGCAGTGTCTAGGACCTTAAAAGCTTGCAAGCAGCCATCTAATATACAAATACTGGACGCTACACATCCGAAATAAAACAGAATGAAGGGAACCCAAGACTCAAAGAAGAAACTAGTCCACAAAACTAGTAAGTCTACATGAACTATGACCTCAATGACCAGGAAACCAGAGAACTAGATGGTGCCCTGCTCCCACTACTGAATGTTCTGATCAGGAACACAATAGATGGCTCTTGATACAATGGGAGCAACTGTGGAACAGAACTCAAATTCTTAAAAAGTTCAGACTTACTGAACCAGTTGAGACTCGAGGACCCTCGAGACTACCACCTTCAAACATTCTGTAAACCTTGAACCAACAATGATTCCATGAGATGATCTTTTAGCTAAACAACAGACTGGCTCATAAAATAAACAATGTCACCTTTGAGTACTATATTTCTTTAGAAACTCCTTTTTTTTTTATTGAGACCAAACAGTAAACATTTACTCAAAAGCAGATGAGAAGGCAAGGATTGGGAAAACCAGATCACTGGAAACAGAACAACCAGAATGGAAATAATGAGAAAACTGACATACTGAGAAATGCAACCAATGTCAATGAACGATCTGTACAGAAATTGCTAACTTGCTGTGTACACTTCAACTGAAAACAAATATTTTTCAATAATAATATTTTTAAAAACAGGCAAGCGCAACTCACAACAAAAAGTTAAAAAACAAACAAAAAATCAGGTAGACATTAGGACATAATTTGTAATTCCCATCCTGGATGAAATCTTGGTTACATGCATCAAAACACATGTTCAAGGCTTTTCATGGCAGCATTGTATGCAACAGTCAAAACTAAAAAAAATCCAGTCCAGCAATGGTGGAATGAATAAAATGCAGCAGACTCATATAATGGAATACACCTAACAACAAAAATCAATAGCCTGCAACAGCATGGTTGAAGTCCACAACATCAACAACTATGTGAAAAAGGCACAAGACAGAAGAACGCACACAGGATGACTCCATTTAAGTAACCGTCAAAAACTGACTAGACCTATACTGTTTTAAGATCCATGCAAAGGTGGTAAAATTATTGGTTGTTGTTGTTAAGTACTGTGGAGTCGGTTCCAACTCATTGTGACGCTGCACAGGGTTTCCGTGGCTGTAAATCTTTATGGGAGCAAAAAGCTTCATCTTTCTCCTGCGGAATGGCTGGTAGTTCCAAACTGTCGACCTTGAGGTTAGCAGCCGGATTCGTAACCACTACGCACCAGAGTAACATATATAAAACTGCAGCTACTCAATGATTTTTGACTCACAAAAATGGCAATTTCATGTGCAAAAAATTAATCTAAAGTAAAGAAAATAATTATCACAAAAGTCAAGAGAGTGGTTACCTTTGGGGAATGGGATAGGAAGGCATCTGGGGAAAGTATACCGAGACTCTGGGGAGCTGAAAATGGCTAATTTCTTGACCTAGGTGGTGGTTATACATGTTCACTTTTTAAGTTCTTATTAATCTTTATGTGAATGTTTTGTATACTTCCCAATATATACAATTCACAAAATTTTAAATTGAAAAAATAATTCACACTTATTTTTTACAGAATATTATGCTTAGCTTTATGGGGGCTAAAAGATAGGATAATATGTGATTGTTGCTTTTAAAAAAATTATGACCTAGTTGGGCGGACAAGACCCACACATAAGATATCTAATGGTACTTTGAATCACTTAAGAGAAACAAACTGTTCAGTACATGGTGTTGGGATAACCGGGGGGAGAGGGGGAACCAATCGATGTATACTTCATCTTTATACCAAAGTAAATACTAATGTTGAAAAATGTAAAGAAAGAAAGAAATCTACAACTGCAAAAAGAAAAAAATGAGTTTTTAAAAATAATCTGAAGTAGAAGAGATCTTTTGTAAGTATGACATGCAATTCAGAAGCTATACACAAATCACATACACACACCTGATAAATTTAAAGAAAAGATTAGGTCATTTGATTATCCATCATTAAGGACTGGGCAAATACATATAACACCAAACAGTTGTTAAAGGAATCAGTTAGCTCTCAATTAACTGACAAATAACCTTTGAGACATTTTAAGGGGATAGGCGAGGGGAAACAAATTTCACTATAGCATATATGATATGCAACAGTACAGAATGTAGACACACAGTCACATACATAATATACACATACATACACACAAACATACATGTGTATATGTCATTGTCTACACCAAGAAAAAACAAATCTGGTGGCATAGTGGTTATGAGTTGGGCAGCTAACCTCAAAGTCAGCAGTTCGAAACTACCAACTGTTCCGAGGAAAGACGAGGCTCCCGTAAAGACTTACAGTCTCAGAAACCCATGTAGGGTTGCTATGAGTTGGAATGGACTCCACAGCACACTACCACCACCACACTAAGAAAAGCAGGGAAAGTTTGTAAAAATGAGTTTAGCTATGTTCCTGTTTTGTTTGTTTGTTTGTTTTTTATGGTTAACAATGGCCCTGCATGTGAACAGATGGAGGAAGTTTATCACAATGGATTCTGATCATTGAGTTCATCATTCTTCCCCCATTGTGTTGGGTCAAGCTCTCTGCTCTTATCTGAACTACTGTCATGGTTTTCTAACAGGTTTCAATTCTCTGAAGTTATCCCACCCAATATCACCAGTCATATTCTCAAATGGAGTCCTGGTGTGGTGCTATAGGATAAGCACTCAACAGTAAGGTTGGTTTGAACCTCGGGGTCGGCAGTTCAAACTCACCAGCCGCTCCTTGGAAACGCTATACAGGGTGGATATGGGTCAGAACCAATTCACCACTTAATGACAGTAACTCTCACATTAGAGATCTGAACGCAACCCCGGTCCATTGATGACTTCACATTGAACACAAGATAAAGCCCAATTCCAGAGCACCGCTCACACTCCTCCCCTGCACTCCATCCCCCAACTCCTTTGCCATCTCTGTAGCCTGCTCCCAGCTTGAGTTCTGCCATGGGATCTTGCCACATCACCACTGATACCCTGTGTCATTAAACATTTTCTCACTGACAACAGTGCCATCTCTGATTTCAACCTCTGGAAAAAATGCTCTCACCTTTCAATGCCTAGTTTAAATGCCACCCTTTCTGTGAAACTCAGTTGCACTTTCTCAGGCTCATTGTCCCTCTGTTCTCCAGAGTGCCTGGTACACACAACAGCAATACCAAGATGTGTGTCACAGTACATTTAAATTGTTAATATGGTGCAGCGGAGCCAACTCAGGCTATTCAGAGACCTACGCAACTTTGACAAGTTCTTTCTCAACCTCTCTAACCTTTACATCTTCATGGTACATGTGCGTAAAATAAAGATGCCATCTATGGAATACGAAGACAATATATTTGTTTTCACTTCACAGTGTGGTGATGATGGTCAAATGAGATCATGTCCAGAAAAGGGCTTAGCACATATTTGGCACATAAAGTGCACCCTTATTTATTACCAGTAACAAAGGCTCTGTCTGGATATGTGTATGTTGGGCAAAGTTACACACTTCTAGGAGCATTAAAGAGGTTAAGATAATGTTTATTCACTACAGGATTTGTAAAGGTTACATAAGCTAAAAATACAAAGTTCTCGATGTATCAATGATTAAATGTCTTGTCAACAAAAAATTAACTCTAACCCAAGAATTGAAAATGACTTGTTTCAAATTACATTATTTTGAACCATAAAACGGAGAGGATTACAGAAAGATGGGTGTGAATAAAGTAGGGTAGGAAAAGAGAGGGGTTTAAGAGAAGGAAAGAGAGGAGACACATGCATCTAACATAGTCTCCTCACTATTTCTGATACCTGCTTGAACAATTTGTCCCTTCTGTGCACAGTGGCAACTCTTAAGGAGAAATGGATTGCACTAGTTGCAGAAGAGGCTACGGTTCCAAATAATACAATCACCATAGCGGGTGTTGGGTATGCCATGTACCATCAGCATTCTGGGAAAGTCTCTGGCTGATGAACTTGGCCGTTGTGGAGGTTTTGTAAGATAAACTCAAAGGA